ATGCTATAGTCACTTCATCCTGTCCTCCCTACGTGACATTAGGTAGTCTCTCCTCCATTTCTGAAATGTTGTCATTTCAAACTTTTATATTAATGGAATCATGCAAAATGTAGCCTTTGGGACTTGTTTTATTCAGCATAAATTCATGGAGAGTCATTCAGCTATTGTGTGTATCAATAATTCATTTTCTTTGTTGCTGAGTATTGGCACTGTGGGTTAATGCACTGGACTGCAAGTTCAGTTTGACCTGCAAGGTTGGTGGTTCAAGCTCATCAGCTGTTCCTTGGAAACACAATGCAGGGTCATTATGACTCAATGGCACACAATAACAATTCCATATTATTTATGTACCAGAGTTTGTTTACCTATTCACCTACTAAAAGGCAGCTATACTAATTCCAGTTCTGGGGGGCATTGCAAGTATGCTGGTATGAACAGTCACATATAATATTTGTGTATACAGACATTTTTATTTCTCTATGATTAATAACAAAAAGTGCAATAGTTGGTCAATATGGTAACTAAAAACTTAACATCGTTGGAAACTTAGTCATAGTAATCTCCAGTGTACTTGTACCATTTTATATTACTAACACAAATATAGGCATAACTAATTAGTTTAAACAATGTGAAGTTAGTGCTGCTGATGTTGTTGTTTTTTAACATATTCTCCAGCTAGGTCTATACATTTCTGAAGGCAGTGTTTCTATTTCTCTAACCTTCCTCAAAATATTCTGCACTCTTCAATTTATACTCATCAAAACAACAGTTTTGCAATCCTTGAGGGACTCAAATCATGTTCCGTTTATTGTTCTTTGAGTTTGGGAACAAAAAGAAGTCTGAATTGTTAAGACCACAACTGTAGGGTATAAGGTTTCTCAATGAAATTCTCATAGGACAGTCCTTATTACTCACAAAGAATGAGCAGGTTATGACGGAAAAATATTCCGTGGTCCAATTTTGCTAGTCTTTTTCTCAAATTGCAGTTTTCTATTTTCTTAAAATTTCTTCAGAATAAGCCATCATGTTCATCCTGTGTCCTTCTAGAAAATATATCAAGTTTACCTCTTAGAATCCCCAAACATAATCCTCATAACCTTCTGAGTTGATTCTCTGCCATGAGTTTAACTGGCCCAGCAGGAACCCTTGGAGGCCACTGTTTGGGTTTGACCTTTTTTCAAAAGTACCCTAAGGAGACTTAGACAAATGAAAGAATTTGTCTTCAGACATGCACTGATTGCAGTGTCATGTTTAGACACATTTTGTTCGAAATAAGCTGTGCATGTATGAAATAGAACTACTGTATTTTTCCTTTTATTTTTGGATTCCCTGTTTTGTTCTATTGATCCATGTGTCCATCTCTCCACAATTGTCAAACTGATTTGATTACTGTAGCTATCTAGCATGCCTTAATATCAGGCAAAGTGATTCTTCACCCTTTCCTCACTTTATTCTTGTCTAGATTATTTTCATATTCTAAGGCCTATGCCTTTTCATCTACTTCGTAGAATACATTTATCAATGTCTACAAAACCCTTGCTGGGATTTGTTAGTAAATATACCAGACTTATAGAGAAATTGGAGCTCTGGTGGGAAGTTATAGGATAGGCACAAGACTGCACTGTTGGTTTGAATTGCAAGGTTGGCAGTTCAAACTCACTAGCCACTCCTTGGAAACTCTATGCAACCTCACTACAAGTTGTAACTGATTCTATAGCACTTCATAACAACAACAATAGACAAATTTGGGGACAAGTGATATTTTGAAATCAAATAACATGGTGTATTTGTCCATTTATTATATAATTTAAAACATTTTTTATCAGCATTTTGTCATTGTCAGCACAGAAATTCTTTAAACATATTTTGAATAGTATTCCTAAGTATTGTGTTTTCTCTGGAGTCTTTGTAAATGATACTGTGCTTTTAACTTTGGTTTCTGCAAGTTCATAGTTAATGCATAGAAACACAAGTGATATTTGTATATTAATCTTATAATTGGAACATTTTTCTCTTGAACAATCACTCTTCAGCTGTGTGTGATTTATTTTTAATCCTAAATTCTTTTTAATTCCAATTCATTCATTTCTCTTTTCAGTTTATTATATTTTCAAGTTAAACATTTTTGCTCATTTTAGAATATTTTACCTATCAAAATTTTCAATCCATTTTTCCCCTTAGACATATTAATTATAAAACCCACTGCATTTGAGCTGATTATGACCCATAGAAACCTTATAGGACTGAATAGAATTGCACCTTTGGGTTTCTGAGACTGCTTCATCTTTCTCTCACAAAGAGGTTGGTGGGCTTGAACTACGGAACTTTCATTTAGCAGCCCAATGTTCTACCCACTATGCAATCCTGGGCATTTTATATTACTTATGTTATAGTTGTTAAGTACTGTTGAGTCATTTTCAGCTCATAGTGAGGCTGTAAATCTTTGCAGGAGTATAGAACCTCTTCTTTCTCCTGAGGAACAGCTGGTGGGCATGAACCACCAAACTTGTGTTTAGCAGTCCAATGCTTATCCTATTTTTATTTTTAAATCTCATGTAAATCTGTTTATATTACATGATAAACTTTTTCAATTTGTTGATCTTTTAATTTGTGCCAAATTTGAGTACCAGACTGTCTGCAATTGTACATCTATATTTAGCCATCTATCTATCTATCTATCTATCTATCTATCTATCTATCTATCTATCTAACTATCTATCTAAATTTAGAGCTAAGAATGATGTTAACATCTCTTCAATATTCCTTACATTTTTGAAATTTAATGTAGCCTTCACATTTTAAGATACCATCAAACATTTTTTCCTTTAGGAGACTGGGCCTTTGGCAGAGATGTCAGCTTGAGGATTAAGGTGCACCTGACCCAAGCCATGGTATTTTCAACAACCTCATATGGATGCGAAAGCTGGACAGTGAATAAGGAAGATCATAGAAGAATTGATGGCTTTGAGTTGTGGTGTTTCAGGAGAATACTGAAAGTGCCATGGACTGCCAAAAGAACCAATAGATCTATTTTGGAAGAAGTGCAGCCAGAGTGCTCCTTGGAGGCCAAGATGGTTAGACTTTGTCTCTCATACTTTGGACACATTGTCCGGAGAGAACAGTCACTGGAGAAGGATGTCATGCTGGGTAAGGTGGAGGGTCAGAGAAAAAGAGGAAGACCCCCAACGAGATGGATCAGCCAGGTGACATCATTGATGGCATCAAATGTGGCGGCGGTAGTGAGGTTGGCCCAGGATCGGACATTGCTTCGTTCTGCTTTGCATGGGGTCACTATGAGTCGATTCCGACTCAATGGCACCTGACAACAACAATAACAACAACAATCTTGTAAGATACCATTTTTTCAGATTTAACATGGCTTAGACATACAATGAGTGTCTTTCCCTAATGGATGATGGACAATTCAAATAAATAATAGGTGGACACATTTATTGAGCATTTTTCAATTATTATCTTCTTTATGTTATTTTATTTATCCTCCTAATTTTTTATTCCTTTCCAAGAACCAATGTATCTTAGTATTTTACTGCTTCAGGAATAGCTTTCCTTGTAAAAAAAAAGGAAAAATTTGTTCCTTATTTTAGTTGAGATACACATTAAATTGTCACTTACAATTTTGTTAAAATCTTATTATTTACAGGTTTATTTTGGGTAAACACCAAGGTGGAATCTCAGCCTTATGACCTTAGATCCTTCACCTCTGTTTCATTGTTTATATGCAGTCAAGTGGATCATATTGTAAACTCATCAGTGAGATGCAAGCATGGGATCATATTTGCCCCCAAAATAGTAGGAAGCCTCAATCAAAGTACTAATAAGTTTATACTTAATCATTTATTGCTTGCCTTCTATTAAATTTTATTTCAGGTATCACCCTAAACATGCATATCTAAATATTACTTTTTTTTCCTCTTCATTGCTAATATACGTATCTGCCACTATTCTGTTGTCTTCTTCATGTCAACATAGACAAAAAAACTCACATCTTTGGATGGAATCATTCTAATACATGATTCTGAGATTTTAACAGGATATATTTGTAGAGATCTGGTGTGGCACTGTGGGTTAATGCACTAGACTGCAAAGCTATTTGAACTGCAAGGTCAATGGTTCAAGCTCACCAGCTGCTCCTCAGAAACCCTATACAGGGTTACCATGGGTCGGAATTGACTTGATGGCTCTTAACAAAAGCAACATTTGTTTTGTAGTAGGTAGATTATTCAGGAAGTAAAAGCCTTAATTAATTTTCCAGTTAAGGGAAAAGTTTTAAATATGGCTAAAATCATATTATGAAGAATAAACTCTGTTTCTGATGGGAATTCTAGAAATAATCTAAGCTCCTTATCCAATAAATGAAATCAACAGTCAATCAATAAAAGGCTGGATTAGCAATGGAGGTTCTTTTTAGTTGCTGGTTACAAAGGTCATGTTTGTGATTATTCATTTCTGAACAGAAAACAAAAAAATCCAAAGTATTTTGAAAAAAGAAAAGTCTATATGTTGAAAAAATGAACTAAAATTTGAGTAATAAAAATATCCCAATCCAAAAATGATTAGCTTAAATCCCAGACTTGTTAGTATTCCAAACCTATTTCCATATATGCACAATAATAATTCTCTAAAATTCCCTAATCCTACACAACCAAAATGCTAGTCTATAAAAAATAACAATAAACATGGCTGGATATTTGAATCAGTAAGTTTATTATATTAAAATTATTTTACACTTTATTCAATTGTGGAAGAAAGTCCATTGATAAGAATTCCATCCCTAATTCAGGCTTTAGAATTTAATTTGAGTTGGTAAATTAAGCATAGAGTCAGATATAAGTCTGTCCTCTAGTGTATAGAACCAGAGATCTGGTACAAAATTGATAATGAGAGAATAAAGTTTAGTTTTCTCAAAGATAATTAAAACAATAAAGATTATGTATAGAGTCACAGATGGCCTTCTTCAAATTAGAGAACTTTTAGTAAGATTATAAATAGAAGCTAGATCCACATGTTGGTCGGTAACAAGAAGTCTGGCAGGTCCCAGAAGCCAAGTAGGTTGGGCGGCAGAATCCAGATCCAAAGCCCTGGGAAGGGAAACCTTGAACTCCATAACTCAGAAGAGGTCTAAAGCCACTGAATCCACAGCCCTGTGAGTAGCAGCTTCTAGATCCATAGCCCAGGGAACAGCCAGTGCTGGAGCCAAAGCCCAGAGATCCAGCATAAGTTGTCTGACAGGGACTGCAGAGTGCAGAGGTTGTTGGGCGGTAGCAGGAAGTCTGGATGGGTTTGGACACCACACAGGAGGGCTGGCATCTGTTGGACTCACAGCAGGTCTCCCGACAGGGCCTGTAGAGAGAGGAACCCAGCTGGCAGGTGCTGGGAGAGGAGAGACCAGTGCTGTAGCCCAGGTTGCTGAGGTAGGAAGTGCCACAGGAGGAGCCTGGGTAGCGCTGGCAGCTGCCTAGAGACTGGGAGGAGAAGTTTCCAGAGTAGCAGTTGTAAGACATGGTAACTGAAGAAACGAGTTCAGCTGAGTTGCAGTGAGAAGATTCTGAGTTGTAATGTCACCTCCTGGACTGGTGCACTTTTATACTCTCAGCAGTGGGTGTAACCCAGTATCATCATTTTCTATATTTGGACTCTTCCATTTACACAATGTAACCCAATAATTTTTTTATGAATGCAATTAACCAATTCCCTTCATCTTACATTTATGTATGAAATCACTTTGTTGTCATAGCTCTGAATCAATGGATTACATTTATGTTACAAATGTTATGACTATAAATAATTGATGTCTTTCATCACAATTAGGAAAGCCCCTTATATATTACTTGTCAGGAGTAATTTTACATCTGCTCCTGCTTTGCTTAGGAGATTCTTTCCTTTAAGGATGAGGATAGAAATGTAATCATCTTCCTTTTGTGTTAGTGCTCAAGTGAAAGAACTTAGATCATAATGAAGAATCTTCTAAGGTTTGTGTACTAATTCTCATTCTCCAAAATCATTTTCCATCTATTACAAACTATTAAAACTGCTATTAAATTCCAGCCTAAAGGAACTTATAAAAAGTAAGTCAAGTGATACAATAGTGAATGATTGTTATCAGGACTGGTCGTGAGGGTTGGAAATGTAAAGGTAGACGTTTCGTAACAAGGAAGGGAGTTATTAACTCTCCAGTCTAGGAGCGGAGGTCTCTGGGACCATTAACGGAGAAGAGCCGAGAGCGGGACCCTACCCAGAGAAGCAGAGAGGCCCGAGATGGAGGCAGAGACGATGACGTGGAGTGATGAAGTGGATGGGGACTTTGGATCCAGATTGGGAGAGGGACTGGGTCCTGAAGAATGGCGGGGGGTGGGGGGGGGGGGGGGAGTGTAGGGAGCGGGTTTATAGGGTATACCCTTTGGTAGGTTGATGATGCATGGAGGGTATTGGAACCATGGCAATGAGACGATATACAATGGAATGAATGTAAAACTAAAGTTCTCTCATGTAAAATATCATATAATTCACAATAAAACATGAAGAAAAAAAAAGTAAGTCAAGAAGATTGAAAGAAATACCTAGGAATGAGCACATGTGAATAAATATTTAAAATAATTTAGTGTTTAGAAAAGTAAAATCAAAATAGAAACAAGAAGAAACTAGTGTCCTTCTTCCTCACATATGTGAGGAAAAGCAAAGTGTAATGAAGAGAGAAGTGATGGTGGTCAGAGTGAGGAAGGAGATGGTTAGGATGTTGTTCTATCCCATTGGACAACCAATGGAAATTAAAATCTTAATTTTAAATTTTATCAAATCAATTTTTTCAAGTGTATCTTAAATCACATTTTTGACATTTACATTTACAAAAAAAGAAATCTTGGTAGTATTATGAGTTAGGCATATTATTGTGCAGCTAACCTTAAATTTGTCAGAGAAAGATGAGAACATTTGCTCCTATAATGACTTATAGTCTTGGAAACTTACGTATGGTTCATATATGTAGAAATTCCACAACTCATCTGTGAGTTTTTCATACTGTAGTGGCTTGTGTGTATCTGGGATTCTGGAAGCTATGCCACAGGCTTTTTAAATACCAGCAGGGTCACCTATGGTAGACAGGTTTCAGCTGAGCTTCCAGGTGAAGACAGACTAGGAAGGAGATGTGGACGACTTCTGAATATTTACTCATTGAAAACTTTATGAATAGCAGTGGAACACTATCAACACCAGAATTCTGAATATTGAAATGTAATCAAGAGCACCAGAATATTGTCAGATATAGAGTCAGAAGATGAGCTTCTCAGGTTGGAAGGCACTCAAAATACAACTGGTGAAGAGCTGCCTCCTAAAGTAGAGATGACCCTGATGACAC